GTCTCGTCTCTTCCCTCTGTTCGGCCATCATAGCCCGAATCATGGCTTGTACTCCAGCCATCATGACTGGCTCAGGTGCAGCTGCTAGTATCGGTACTTGCTCAATCACTTGGGTTTGTGGATGTTGATTGCCATTTACATTGGCATTTCCGGCTCCACTTCGGGTTCTTTCCATTTCGATCTATACACCAAATTAGGCGAATTTAGATCTTTATTTATGATAGACGTTTAAATTATTCTTATCACCCGAAACGTTACATGCTAGTTCTAATATCGTAGTCGAACGTTTAGAATCCTGAACACATAAGGTTTCCAGATCCAGTCGACAAAAGACCATAGATCCGATCAAATAATAGCATATAAGGCATCTTTATATCTATAACATAAATCGTTTAGCACATAAAAGCATTTTAGGCATCTTTCCTAAAATAAACTAGTGCTCGTGTCTAAAATATGGTAGACACTCATCTCACAATCATCGCTTAGCATTCTAAGTTTAAGTCTAGAAATCCTACAAATTCCTAGTTCGCTTAAACTAATGCTCTGATACCAACTGTGAAATCCCCAAATTTCACGGCCAGAAAAGACCGATCTGTTTATGCTTTATTCGAAAATCAGAGTATAATTTTAAAGAAATATGTTGCGGAATTTGTTCCCAAAAATATGATAAAGAATTTATCAAAGGATTTCCGAATAAATGTATTTTCATTGAATTACAAACCTCGGGATGTGATTTTCAATACAGATCAAAAGCATAAACAAAAACAACATATGCCTTATAAATATTCTATTTATTTCTACTGGCCTATAATCCATAATCTCTCATCAGATCTTCGCATCTATACTCTTGTGTCACTACCTGTAATACAAGAAGCTGGGTGGGTCAGGCTTGGGAGCATGGTGAGCACATAGGGTTTTCAACCCATAATAAATAAGTTTATTACTTTCAACAATCATTCAACCCGATTACCCATTCCCGTTATCCTCACTTTACGTCCCTAAAGCATCTATTATATGGGACCTAGCCTAAGGATTTTTCATCGGTGTGACAACACTGCTTAGGGGATTCCTCAGCAATACATGTCAAATAAGGCAACCATGAGGGGGATGGAGTACACCTGGTGAACACGTAGTTCAAATAAACACCTACAGGTTGCGAGCCTGCTAGCGTTTCGCTGGACTATCTAGAAAAGTCTGTGGTCGTCATCCATACTCCGCTAGATGACGGGATCATCGTCAACATCGAGGCATCTCATCATTTTATTTCATCACACATCAACTATTTCATCTACCCATGTTTTACCCAACATATTTGTAGATATAAAATACATATACAGTTTAGATCTGAAAAAAAAAAAAAGTTTAAATCTTTCATCCAGCATAGATCTCAAAATATAAAATACATATACAGTTTAGTTCTAAAAAAAGTTTAAATCTTTCATCCAACATAGATCTTAAGATATAAAATACATATACAGTTTAGATCTGAAAAAAAAAGTTTAAATCTTTCATCCAACATAGATCTCAAGATATAAAATACATATACAATTTAGATCTAAAAAAAGAAATTAAATCTTTCATGCAGCATAGATCTCAGATAAACAGATAATATACACACATACCACGTAATTTATATAAAATACTTCATATCTATGTGTAAGATGAAATTAACTATGCACTCACTTGATAAGGTGGTGATTCCAACTTGGACAACGTTTCGCTTCGACGAAACCGAAAGGTTTGTTTGAAAACCGAGCTCTACGGGGAAAAGTTCCGAGCCGAAAAACTCATTTTCTCAGAGCCTTCGGGCGCTCCGGGGCTTTCTTCTAGTGCTAGGGAAGTTTCTTAGGCTTGGGGGTGTTTGGGAGGTTTAGAGGATGAGAGTAGAGAGAGTAGTGAATGGGTTTTGGTGTGAAAAATGAAGACTCTCTCTGATGGTTTTTAAAAGCTGGAAAAGGGTCCAAATCGTCGAGTTTTTGGTCCAACTCATCGAGTTGGTGCCACTTGCCACCATTCTGGTGGAGGGCAAGTAGTGACCTATATTGTGTCACGTCACCCCCTTCGCAGCAGCACCCTTCCGACTTCTAAACCTCGTAACGTTCGCATACGAGCTTCGTTTTTGACGTTCTTTATATCTACGCGTAGGTGGGAACGTACTCTACAACTTTCGTTTAGACTTCGTCGACTAATTTTGATTTTATTTTTAAATATATTTTTTAACAAGCCGGGACAGGAAAAGTCTGTTAAAAATTCATAACTTCGTCATCCGACGTCCGATTTCGTCTGTCTTTTTATTGTTGAGCTTTTATTGACGAGATCTTCAATTCTCATTTAGGTTGTGTCGGCTAAAAATCGTTCGATCTAAAATTCGAACTCCGGGTTGCACACTGCTATGCCAAATCTTAGAAAATTCATAACTTCCTCATACGAAGTCAGATTTGGACATTCTTTTTATTCACACTCTCGGTTTAACGTATTCTACGACTTTTGTTTAGATCACTAAGGCTAAAAAGTAATTTGTCAGAAAATCACGTTTTACGTTACTCGGTGTCGTGCCGGTTTAGCCGTAAAACTTCGACAGGTCATAACTTCTTTCTTATAACTCGGATTTCGGCGTTCGTTATATCTCCGGAATCTTTGTCATGACCACTACAACTTTCTTCATAGATATAGGGTTTATCTATATTTTTATTTTTGACGCTTATTTCATTCTTAATTTGTTATATCTTATAAATAAGTATAATGCACATAAAATTACATAATTCACATAATATTCAAGTAATTCCTCTTTATTACTTCAAAATAAGTTAAATTTGTTGACCTAACTATTACACCATCATATTAACTATTACACCATCATATTAATGTTTAGCCTAAAAACGCGGGCGTTACACATCGGGAGTGATTTTCGAGGAAAAAAAATTATTATATATCTATTCTGACGACTAATCGTCGGTATAAATATCACCTTTACCGATGACGTCGTCGGGACAGGTGAAAGCAATCAAGACGACTTGTCGTCGGTAAATATGAAAACCGTTTTTACAGTTAAGAGTTATACCGACGACATGTCGTCGGTATAACTTTTAAAAAAAAATATTTTTCACAGTTTTTATTATATATATCAAACCTTTTTTTAAATCCAAACCGTATATATGTATAATAATATCATTTAATAACCTTAACCAACCATTAAAAATCAAATTCAAAATCCACTACATAGCCAAAAAAAAAAAAAAAAAAAAAAATCTTCAACAAACATTGTTCAAAATAACATAAAAGATCAATCAGAATCTTCATTGTTCTCGTTCTCGTTCTCCCCAAGCTCAGTGGTTGGTTCGGGGGTATTTTGTGAAATCATATTAGGATTGAATGGAAATTGTGGCATTGGTTGTAGTTGGAAGTTCGGAATTACGGACGCAAATGTGTTATTACCACTACTACAAAATCAAAAATAAAATACGATTGAAAAAGTAATTACAATATGGACATTAAACTGTATTCTAATAGAGCGTGTTCTATTTGAAGAGGCAATAAAATACGGTTGTAGAACCGTATTCTATTTTGAATATATAATACGGTAAACTATGCATAGAATACGGTTGTAGAACCGTAATCTATAAGAATATATAGTACAGTAATTTAAGTAATATAATACGATTGTAAAACCGTAATATATAAGAAGACTTAGTACGCTAATCTAGGAAATAGAATAAAGTTCGGAAATTTAGTAATGAGAAATTATAAAATTGACCAATACAATTAAAAATAAGCATAAATACATTAGCTTTTACGAAAGATAACAACTAGTCATTCTAAATAATAAAAAGTAACTATTATAAAATAGTAGTTAAAAATAAAGTACTAAGACACATAATCATGCTAGACTTAAACACAAAAGAGAAGGACCATTGTTTTCATTACAAACCTATGACACCCTAAAAAAACTAAAAATTAAAAAAAAAAAATCTTCTTTTATTTTTTTGCAGCTTTCTGGTCACTATGGCTCCAATGTTCAAAGACTCGAACCAACAATCAGCAATGAGAAAACTAATCAATAACCAAAAGCAAAGATAAGTCAAGATTTTCTCTTTTTTGTGTAAAATCAAAGAGCATATGATACATGACTTTGTTTAAACCGTAGAAGGTTAAAAATCAAACAAAATAATTGAGAGCATAATGTAAAAAACTTAAACAAACTTATTCATCCAATAATAACAAGTGTAGAAAACAGAACTAACCATTAAACACAGGCTTCATTTCATATATTTACTTTGAAAAATAGTCATTCACGCATTGACCACGTCGTCCAACAACTTTTCTGGAATGGGGTTTCTATCATTGCAAAACTTAAACAAACTTATTCATCCAAAAATAACAAGTGTAGAAAACAGAACTAACCATTAAACACAGGCTTCATTTCATATATTTACTTCGAAAAATAGTCATTCACGCATTGACCACGTCGTCCAACAACTTTTCTGGAATGGGGTTTCTATCATTGCAAAGGTTCTATATGCAGAATAAAAAAAATGTTATTGAACAAAAGAGACAGCTTAATGCAATAGACAAAATGAAAAAACGATATTACAAACGTTACTTACATTCGGGAATGCATATTGCATATACATGACAAATCACGCATCCATTTCAACACTTAATAGCCACTCTCCCAATTAGACGATTGTTGGTTGTATTAAAAAGAAAATAAACATGAGAGGTTTTCTTATATATATATATATATATATATATATATATATATATATATATATATATATATATATATATATATATATATAGAGAAAGAGAGAGAGAGCTAGGTTCAGGTTTTAGATAAATTAAATAATTTAATAGATAATATAAGGGTACTATAGTAATCTTATTATTAGTTAATTATGGTATAATAGATATATAATTGGATATTAGATGTACTGATAAGTCGCAAAGATTCAAAACACTATATCTTTATAAGTTCGAGCACGACTTGTAGAATAATAAATCCTCCCTAACCCTAGCTCCAAAACAGATAAAATATACGACTTCAATTCTCCCTCCGCCACCACCGTCAACAGAGACGACAAAGGATACGAAGAAGAAGATGATGAACAAGTAATCGGAGACCCTTTCATTCAAAACGAAATTCAGCTTGAAGCCCCCAAACCCTCCAAAAGGGTTACTAAAATTGTGATTCAACCGGAGGTTTTGGTTCCAGCGAACTGGAAAGACGTTAGACAGAGATTAATATCATGAAGAAAGAGAGGAGAAAGATGGCCTAGGGAATGGAATTCGGGAGCAGATTACAAAAGAGGAAAGACGGGTTAAAACCTATATCGATGGGGTATGAGAGTATGAAAGAGTACAAAGCTACAAAACTAAGGGAATTGAAACCAGTTGTGTTGAATAATCCTCAGTTTTTGTTGGACAAGAACGAAGGTGATGGCATCGAAGATGAAATTGACGAGGGCGAAGGTAGCAGCGGCATTGGAGTAGCCCCTAGGAACCCTGAAATGGTTGTGTATGGCCGAAATTTGGAGGATATTTTACGATACTTTAACTCTGGCATGTATGATCCTGAAGCTGCCAAAGATCCAGAAGGTAATTTCATAACATTCCCACTAAAATTGGCTCAAATAGTACTCAAATTTCACTTCTATAAAGCTGAATTCTTACATATAATTCCATGAGTTGAAGAAGAATTTGTGTTATTATAACCTTGATTAGGTCCTCGTAAGTTGTTTTCAAAAGACGAGAAAGTCCTTATGAATAGGCGGACTCCTGATTTGGCAACTGCTACCTCTGTAAGCTTCTTGTTACATGCTAATTTAACATGAAAACTTTCAGAAATTGCAATTTTCATTGCACAATTGAAAATGAAATTGTTTAAATCTTTGTGTTGATGATTGTTTAAACAGGATAAATGGCAACCTTTACACACTCTTGCTGCATTAGGAGAATTTTACCTTGTTGATACTTTGATGAAATACAATGTAGATATCAATGTCCCTAATCAGGTAAAAATGATGACTTTTTCCTTTTTCCTTTTTTTATTATTAAATCGACAAGTTTTCTAAGACTTTTTTTCATACTAGGGATAAGAAGGGCATTCACGTCTTTTTTGTCATTTTTCTTTTTGTAGGAGGGACTCACAGCACTTCACAAAGCAATACTTGGCAAAAAGAATGCCATTTGTAATTATCTATTGAGAAATTCAGTCAGAATGTTGTTAAAATGTATCATTTTGATGACATTCTATTAGAATATTTACAATTATATTCATTTTGAGAAATTCAGCCAGAATGTTGTTAAAACGTATCATTTTGAGAATGTTATTCTTAAGAATTATATTCATTTTGATGAAATTCTCTTAGAATATTTACAATTATATTAAAATGTATCAGTATGTAAGATTATTTATGAATTTGTATTTAAGTTCGGATGTGTATGAATATATTAGAATGTTGTTATTATTAAATTTTAGATTCAAGAATTTTATTATTCTTTTTTAATATTCTAAAAGAATAACATTCTAAAAAAAACAATATAATAGAATATCATTCTAACAGAATAACATGCTGACAGAATTAAAATTGAATTAATTTAAAAAACCAGAATTCAAAAGTATGATGATAAAAAATCCCTTAAAATCCGAAAATTTCCTTGTTAAATTTGTGTTTCCTAATTTGAAAGTAATGTAAATGTACATTTTTACCCTTCTTTTAATTAAATGGTATTATTGTGTTTTTTTTAAATTTAATAATATAGATAAATGTCTTTCTTAAAATAACTAAAATGATTGGTCCAGAATTATTCCTACATCCACACAATAATTAGTTAGAATAGAATAACCTTATATATATATATATATATA